CTTATATATAGACAATCTAATTTCCTTATGTCTTATGCGTTATGCTTTATGTAAAAGCTTGTGCTCTCGGCTTATTGTTGATGCTTTTTCGCGACGCTGATTGGTTATCGCGATTATTCTGATAGTTTGATAGATTGATAGCGAAGGTTATTTTGACGATTATTTAAAATAAAAAAAATTTATTAAAATATTTAGATTTCATAATTATTAAATTACTATAATAAGTACGCGCGCGTAGCGCGCGCCTGTATTGTTCTAGTTTGACATTAAAAAATTGTCTTACATGATTTTGAAAATTAATAATATTAGAATTGCCCGCCATGGCGTTGTACGCACATTTCAACATGGCAGAACAGTGCCGCTTGTCTTGAAAGCACTGCAAATAAAATCTAAGGATTATCAAATAAAATATTGATCAATATCAATTTTGGCTAGCATTTCTTTCAAGTTAAGTAAATTTTTTTAAGTAACACGTGTTGTAAAAAATAAAAATGCTATTAACATTGAAGCCAGACCACAAGAAGCATGTATTGTTTTTAGCTGAACAATCGCTACCAGGTACAAACAAATTTGTCATTGTATCAATTAATTTATATTTTACAATAAAATCGTGATAACGTGCAATTTTCACAGTTTTACAAGATTTTTGCAAATTGGCTTTAGATTATTTACAAAAAGGTCCAAATGTTAAGGTATATAATGCTGCTGCTCGTAAGTAGTTTATTGTGTCAACTGTCAAAATCATAATAGTGAGTGTACAATTGTTAGTTATACAAACTATTTTGTACTTGTTTTAGAAAAATTAAACGTCGAGTTAGACGTAATTAAAAATTCAGTGGAGGGTTTGGTTAATCTTTTATTGGAAAGCTGTAAACACAAGGTGAAACTTACTAATTGGAGTATAAAGAAATAGAGATTTGTCATAAATATAACCTATTATTTAATATATTTAATATGTTCTACAGTTAAGTGCAGAAGATTTCCGGGATTCGGTGATTGCTTTAGGTTTTACTGAAGAAAAGGAGGCGATATTGAGTAAATTATACAACGTTAAGAGAAATGAAATTTCTGATGCACTCGAAGAGATTGGATTTAAATTGCCTAAATATCATGACATGGAATGGAGATTTGAAGTGCAGGTAAAATTTTTACATTCTATTGCTTTTGAACATTTTGATGTATAATAAAATAGTTATCTGTGTCATAGACTGCATCAAGATCTCTTTCGAAGCAAGTTGCTCCACTTGTCACACTAGACTTGTCTCTGAAAAATCCTGACAGTTCAGATGAAATTGAACACGTTTTGTTGCAAACGGACCCCACTAATTTGCTTCATATAACTCAAGAGTTGGAGGAAGCTTTGCAAGAAAGTCGCAGCCAACATATTCGGAGGATTTCAAAGGCAGTAAAATAAAGTTTTCTTTAATTTTATACAATTATATTTGATGTAACAAAAGATATATATAAACATATAATTATACAAGATTAAATAAAGATCTTAATTAGTAAGAATTGCAAGATAAATTTATTTCAATGATTTAAATCACATTTATCATCGGCATCTGTAAAGTTTCACTCTGGTTAGATTATTCTAAATAAAAGCTGACAGTAATCATGTCATTGTACACATGTATATTATGTTAAGCCAATCCTTAGACTTGTAGTCCAGTTCATTTGCATATGTAATTGGATAATTTTATTGGATCTCCTACATCAATAAGGTATATAAAAGAAGACTGCATTTTTCTCGCACTTGTACTGTTTGTGAGTGTGATACAGTACCATTACAGGCTATTCCTTATCACAGAATATTGATGTTTTGCAAATTGAAGTTTTCAATTGCCTCAAACTCAGGACTCAGGCCTAGCAAGTGCAATTGTACCTTGAAACATTTCAACGTTAAGAAGTACATATATTTGTTTTTATGTATTATACCTTATAAATTAATTATTATTAATTGCTTTATTATTTTTTACAGAAAATGGAATCTCTCGTCGCAGTAGGTGCCAGTAATCTGACTTCAACCATCTTATTCGAACACTCCACTGTAACATTTTCCAATATATTGACAACGACAACTGGGCCCCGAGCTATGCGACAGATCATGAATTTCAATAATCAAACTGTGGCGGATAAAGTGCCTCCAGATATGTTGCACTTGATTGACCCACACTGGTTATTTTCGATTGCTCTATATCGATTGATACTTTTGTACTCTGCTTTTGCAAAATCAAACTGAGGTTTTTCAATTACAGGTATCAATTCCCACCAATGGATCCAATGTGGCACAAAATTTTAGGACTTGTAATGATTGTATTAGGATTTATGGGATGGAGCGGCAACGGCGTTGTAGTGTATGTGTTCCTGATGACTCCCTCCTTAAGAACACCTAGCAATCTTCTAGTGGTAAATCTGGCTTTCTCGGACTTCATTATGATGATTATCATGTCACCTCCTATGGTAATCAACTGTTACTACGAGACCTGGGTGTTAGGTAATGTAAACTCATATTGTCTTGTTATTACGTTCTCTCTATTTAAAATTTAACATAATGATAATTATATTAAATTTATATTAAATTTATATTAAATTTATATTAAATTTATATTAAATTTATATTAAATTTATATTAAATTTATATTAAATTTAATATAATTTAATTTCGTATTAAGGACCTCTGATGTGCGACATATATGCCATGGTTGGTTCTCTATGTGGATGCGCCTCAATTTGGACTATGACTGCTATCGCTCTAGACCGATATAACGTTTTAGTAAAGGTATAATATGCTTTTTTATACATATATTCTTTTAATGTGGTAAATGGAAACGGAAATTAATAAATTTGTCTTCAGGGTATGGCAGGAAAACCACTCACCATTAAAAAAGCACTACTCGAAATTTTGGGAATCTGGTTGTTTGCCTTAATATGGACAATTTTGCCAATGGTGGGATGGAATAGGTAACATTAAGATGATAGAAATTATAAATGAGATGTTTATTACATTCTTTGCGATATATAATAAATTTCATAATGATAATTAGGTATGTACCAGAAGGTAACATGACTGCATGTGGCACGGATTATCTTAACAAAGATTGGAGTTCCAAATCGTACATCCTGGTGTATTCAATATTCGTATATTATATACCGCTCTTTACTATAATCTACAGCTATTATTTTATTGTATCGGTATGTATATACAAAAATTGTTTAAAAAAATTTAGAATCTGTAAGAACGTTTTTTTTTTTTTCAAATCAATAGACAGTAGCTGCTCATGAAAAAGCAATGAGAGAACAAGCGAAAAAAATGAATATACAATCTTTGCGATCGGGAGAAAATCAAAATATAAGTGTGGAAGCAAAGTTGGCGAAGGTGAGTCAAAAGTATATACTAAAATTATACTAAATGAAAACATAGATTAATTATTGCGATGGTTTTATCGATTATAGGTAGCTTTAATGACGATTTCCTTGTGGTTTATGGCGTGGACGCCGTACTTAGTCATCAATTATACTGGTATTTTTGGTGGTGCTAATATTAGTCCCATTTTCACCATTTGGGGATCTCTTTTTGCAAAGGCAAACGCTATATATAATCCAATTGTTTATGGAATTAGGTATGTTGCTGCTATTTTATACAGATATACAGAAAAGTGTATATATATATTAATATTTACACTCTTTACTTCATGCATTGTACAGTCATCCAAAATACAGAGCAGCATTGAAAGAAAAATTGCCGTTCTTTGTATGTGGCTCGACTGAGGATCCGTCCGCGGCTGCGAAAACCGCGGACACGACATCTGTTACAACGACGACGGCGTAGTTTCCACGCGGTGGATTGTAAATTTCAAACATTGTGGTATAACATAATTATAGTATATTTCGAATAAGTTAACGAATTAATAATACTGGATATATAACGTGTGAAATGTTTCTAAGAAACGTGAAAATTTGTAATTTGTAAAGCTCCAATAGCTATTACGAATGGCCAATTATGCGAAAAGCTACGTACAGGGAATTTCGAGTGGACTAAGTGTATTATTTTACGATATGTACGGTAAATTCTGCTTTTGTCTTTTGTTCTTCCTTTTATGGCACGCGTTTAGCATTGTCTTTGCAGGGATGAATGATAGAAGGCACTTAATATCGATTGTAGTGTACAAAAAGATTATTCAATGTATCGTTTGGCATGTAATGATTTAAAAAAAATTGTCATATTTTTAAGATGTAATAAAAAAATATGTTAAATATTAAACAATATATCAAACATAGAGATATATATGTTCAGATAAACAATATATTAACATAGAGATATATATGTTCAGAATTTTTGTGGTTCAATTAAAATTCCCATATATATGATTGCCTGCAGAATTTATTTATAATTCTATAAAATGAATTACAGACACGATATTATCGCTACAAGCGATATTAGTTAATACATATTTGTTTATTCCAAAGTGAACCATGTATTCCGTTGCCTTGAAGAGATGACATAATTTATAAACTGCGCTATGAGACATTGATAAGAAATTCGCGTGTGGTGCAGCCGAATTGTACAATGCATCATAGACTCCAAACAATTGTAGCATGACATTATTCATCCTTCATTTATCCCTGACATTTTTTGTCAATATTAAAGTTTTTCGCATATTGGCTTGGCTCCTCTCGCTTGCACCACAACTAATCGCACGATATAATATTCTCTTACAATGTAGTATCACGATTGAATTCATTCTCGTACTCTCGTTGATAACGTATTTCTGGCGCGTGTTTTTAATTGCAGCTATTTACAACCTATGCTTGATGGCGCGATTTCTTTGTGACGAGAATATAATACTATTTTACGGTGTTTGTTCGGAGAATCTATTGCATTGTCAAAAAATCGATGTGTGTAACATTATTGTTTTATGCAGCAGCTTTTTCGCCTTCTGTGACCGTGGTAGTCGTGGACGTTGTGTCCCCGCCAGACGCCGGTTCGGAGGCACACGCCAGAGACGGGAACCTCTGGAAGAGAGCAGCTCGGTACTTAGGATGGCTGAAATCAAACAAGAAAAGTGATTAGCGTCGCTAGAAATAATTCAGTTAATTTATAGAAACATTTTGACGATAACCGTATATTTCAGAGACAGTACAATTGCCGACTCACCTGATGCCGTACACGATGGGATTGTACACGGCGTTGGCTTTCGCAAAGAGCGAGCCCCAGATCGTGAAGAGCGGGCTGATCTTCGTCGTCTCGAAGATGCCCGCGTAATTGATGACCAGGTATGGAGTCCACGCCATGAACCACAAAGAAATGGTCATCAGAGCTACCTGTAATTAGTAACGTTGTTATGACGACTGTACGGATAATTGCGATGAATTGAGAGTGCAAGACAAACTTGCCTTTGCGAGTTTGCACTCGGCGCTGGTGCTCTGGTTCTCGGCTGATCGTAGGGAAGCGACGTTCATCTTCTTCGCCTGCTCGCGCATGTTCTTCTCGTGAGCGGCGACAGCTTGAATGATGAAGAAGTAGCTGTAGATGATGAGGAACAGTGGCGCAAAGTATACGAAAATGCTGTAGAAGAAGATGTACGATCTGGAGAACAAGTCCTTGTTCAAGTAATCGGTACCGCAAGCGGTCATGTTGCCCTCAGGTACGTAGCTGTAAAAGATAAAAATTGTGTCACTGACAATGTGAAGCACATTTACGCAATGCTTAATATTATTTTAGATTCTTATCTCACCGGTTCCATCCGAACAGCGGAGCGATAGTCCAAAGCAACGAGAAGAACCAGATGCCTAATATGCGAACGAGGGCGCCGTTAATGGTCATCGGCTTAGCGGATAAGCCTTTGACGATTACGTTATACCTATCGAATGCAATCATCGTCATTGTCCATATGGAGCCACATCCGAACAGGGAGCCCGTCAAAGCGTACAGTTCACAGAACAAAGGTCCTAGCACCCACGTCTCGTAATAGCAATTGATCACCTGCGCACGGTTGTCAATTAAGCATACGAAATCGCACTTTATTCACATTGAATAACATATTTGGTTTTTATCTGAACAGCGTACGCACCATAGCCGGCGACATGCACAGCATCATGAGAAAGTCAGAGATGGCGAGATTGACGACGAGCAGGTTGCTTGGAGTACGGAGGCTCTTGGTGGTCGTGAATATATATACCACCATGCCATTACCGATGACAGATATCGAGCCGAGAATGCCGATGACAAAGCCGAGAAGAGCGTGCCACAGAGGATTCATCGGCGGGAATTGATACCAATGGGGATCGACCAGGTGGAGCATCTCCGGTGGCACTTTGTCCACCACCGTTTGATTGCCAAATCCGCCTCCTTGCGCCGCCCATGTGTAGGCTGCATGGCTCGGTCCGGACATGGTTAACTGTGAAGATAAATTCAAAGTAAGAAAATCGAGGATTTTGTATAGAATTCTTAAATTTGTTGATTCTTAAATTTTTTCAAATGTAAATAATCAATCACAGAGTACAAGAAGCAGATGCAGAATTTGGAAACTACACCGTTCTCACCTCCGTGCGTGCTTGGAGAAGAATGTGGGAAACAAATTAATCCAAGTACACCGCTGAATTGCTAGTGCCAGTGTGGGTTCTCGTATCGTTCTATTCGTGAAGCTTGTAGGAAGAGTTCCCTGTTTCGGACCACCGTCGGATGTAGCTCGGGGTTGGCCGCGACGGTGAGCCGCGCTTAAATAGCCATCGCGATCTTACGTTTCTGCGGCTATATACAACACGTTCCTAAGTCGCCAAACAGTCTTAAGAACTCTTCTATTAAATTATGCGGGATTTAAGAATACCTTGGGAGTAACCTAAGTGTTGAACACAGAAACCTTAGTAGTATACATCAAGAATAGACGTAGAGGCTCATTTGCGAAAACACTTACTGAATTTTAATGATACATCCGATCGATCGAGGTTGTTGTGAAAAGCAAATTTTCTCATTATTGAAAAATTAAGTCATTTTATTATAACAAGATACATACTATATTTTAATAACGTGTAATGTTTTTTAATTACAGTCTATAATTATGATTTTTCAGAAACTTAAATTTAGAAATTAAATAAAAATGTATAAAATTTTATTTTATATATATATATATATATTTAAGTAATAATTTAATCATTTGGATAGAATTTATTCTATCTGAGCACATTTCATGCTTCACGATCAAATTTAAATGTGATCGATAATGGAATCGATATACGAAATCGATAATTGTAAATTCGAGATAATCACATGACATCTCGTGGGAAAATGAAGAAATGGTATGAAGATTGTAGCGGTTTGCGCGCCATATCGTATGGTTGTCACAATGCTTTGTGTCAATAACAAATATCTTCGAAAAAGATCGACACATCAGGTACATCCTTTTACGCGCTGTCAACGTGCTTTTAACGGATAGCACTACCAACAGCCATGGAAGAGAATCTCGAAGATAATTTGTTGGACGAAGGAGACGGCGCCGGGGAGTTGACAGCGCAGACTGTGCTACAGGAGATCGAGAATGCCTGGATGAACGAAAGATTCGCCCCGGAAATTTTGCCGCATCAGTCTGATCTTGTGGACTGCATGCTGCAGCAGATCACGCATATGGAAGAGAACATTAAGAGGTTAGACAAGAACGATTTACGCGCACTGGTCCATCGTATGGAGCTCGACCGGATCAGATATGTAATCAGTAGCTACCTGCGAACGCGGTTGGAGAAGATCGAGCGATACACTATTCACATCCTTTCGGAAGAGGATAGCAGAAGTCCGGAGGAAGCCTATCTGACACCGGATGAGCTACGCTTTGCCAAGGAGTACCTGGCCAATTTGGAGACCCTTTTCAAGACGATAGCACTGCAGCATATGCCACCAAGCTTTCAACGTTTCGAGGTGAACAAGTTTGCTATTAAACCCAATATGCAAGCACATGTATTCTTGCGTGCCAATCGAAGGGTTACAGGTATAGTTCTACCTGGTGTGTTGAACGAAGAGATAGATTTTGAAGAAGGTTCACAGCATATTATTCAATATAGTGCTGTAGCGCATCTAGTTAAGTCTGGTGTAGTACAATTAATTTAACATTTTCAGATAAAAATAGGAAATGGATGCTGATGATTTATCTTTCTTTCAACTATATGCATTCACACATTTTTTTTATTAATATATATCGCAAAGTTTTAGTCATAATTTGTTTAAGACAAAAGAGCATAGAGCTACAGCGAGTTGTTCTTAATCATAAATTTAAAACAAATTTTTTGAGTTTTGTTCAGTTTTATTATTAAGAATAATTAACAGTTTACATGTAAATTTTATCAAATTGGTCTTAAACTGTAAATTGTTCACAAAATTGTGATAAAGATTCATAAGTAATGAGTAAGTAACAAGAACACTTATTGCATAGGAACATTTCTATTTCTAGGCTATATAAATATATATAAAAGATAAGTATGATTGCATCAATAAGTACTAAAATTTTCATAAATAAGTGTTAAAAACTGTTAAAAAGATCTTTTCTAAAAATAAAAACGTTGAACGAATAAAAAATTAAGTAAATTAAGTAAATTTGTTAAATTATTAATGTACAAATGTGGATTGTTGATGATGTACTTCATATGAAATCACATGGATCGTCGCTCATAAGCCTGTAAATGAAATACCACACATAAATATATTTTTAATGATATGTGAGTATCGCTACAGTAATTAATTAATTACCTCTTTGGCGCATTGTTTAAGCTGTTCCGTCATTAAATTTCCAGTTTGTTGCACCATACCGCTAAAGTGACTTTGTTCGTTTTGTAATAAAATGTACGGGTGATCGAATTCTAACACTTGACCGTGATCCATTATCAGTACTTTATCATTATCCATTATCGTGTTTAATCTATGCGCTATTGTCAATACCGTGCAGGTTTTGAATTTCTTTCGAATCGTCGTTTGTATGAGCGCATCCGTTGCAGGATCCACATTGGCAGTAGCTTCATCGAGCACGAGGATCTTATTATCCTGCAAAATTGCGCGTGCTAAGCAAACTAATTGTCTTTGCCCAGCGCTGAAATTACTGCCGTCTTGTTCGACGCGATGGTCTAGAGAAGTTATCGCGTCTTTGAGCTCCACCTCTTCCAAGGCGATCCACAAATTCGCGTCGTCATACTTGTGAAAAGGATCGAGATTGTCTCGGAGCGTGGCGGAAAATAATACCGGTTCTTGCGGTATTATTGAAATTTTGTTTCTTAAATCGTGAAGACCAATTTTCTTTGTGTTAATGTTATCGATGTAAATAGCGCCATCGAGTTTTGCCATGTGAAACAAGGCGGAAATCAGAGACGACTTTCCAGCTCCGGTACGACCCACTATTCCAATCTGTCGAATTATTTGGTATAATTATTCAAGATATAAAATAATTATTCGTATTTTTATCTGTACAATTAATGCAATGTGAATTAATATAATGTATAATTACCTTCATGCCAGGTTCTATGACGAAATTGAGAGATTTAAGAACGGGTGGTTCCGATTCGGAGTATCGAAGAGAAACACTGTTAAATCGAATTTCTCCCTTGGAAGGCCAATTACTCGACGGTTTATCCGCAGGATTGCTCTCAAACGGTCCCTCTTTCTCAAGCTCCGTGAATTGTAATATTCTCTCTACGCTCGTCATCTGTGTCATCGTTTCGGCCGCTTGATGCATTCCGTATTGCAGCATACCGCACAAAGTAAGCACTTGCGAAACGGCTAAACCGACGCTCCCAGCGAAAGTATTTCCTGGAAAAGAGAGAGAGATCTGCAAATGTTACATCAGGAAACATATATCGATTGGCAATGACAATAAAAACTTACCGTCATCCGATGCGACGAAACTATATGTGATAACAGCGATGAAAGCAACGGACACCACGTCCAGCGCAAAACCGAACGATGTACTAGCGGCAACAATCAATGAGTAAGTACTAGTATGCAAATCCTGATATTCGTCGAATTGCTTGCGAACCATCTCTTGCGCGCCGGCGGAACGTATCGTTGTCAGGCCTAAAAATGTAGCGTTCACGTGCGAAAATACGGGGCTTTTCGCTAAAACAAATATTTCGTGAAAACAATATTCGCTAAAACAATAATTTCGTGAAAACAAATATTAATTTAAAGCAGGAGGAAAGTAGATTTAAATAATTGCGAAAGAAAAATCTTTACCATTTCCTTCTAATCGCTTCATATCTTGTGCTGTTAAAATGTAGATTTTTCTTATTATGCCGAACAAAATAGCCATAATGATTATCACGAATATGAACCACCATTTGATAATCAATATTTGCACAAAGATCCCGATCATTACCGCGAATATCTGGATGGCGTCTATCATGATCCTGGGCAAAATTTCGTCCACCGTGCCAATATCCTTCGAAAAACGGTTTAAAATTCGACCTAAAAAGTGTATCATTTTGTAAATAACATCATTGCCGCCTTCCGTATTGCACCGGATTACTGATAAGTTTTGTTTACCGGATGGATTCTTATCAAAGAATGACATTGGCGCCTTGAGTAAGCTCGAGAACATAAAGTTGTGCAGATTTTTGCTGGCATTCATACATATTTGATAGAAAATTAAATTTCGAAATGTTGTCATTACGATACTAATAATGATAAAAGCTCCATAAATCCATAAGGCTGTGTTCGTGTCGAGATAATGCAAATTCTCGTCTATAATTGTGGTCTAGAAGCAGCAAAAAAACTGACAATATAATCGTTGAATTAAATGCAATCTAGAAAAATGAGAAATACTAACAGCGTTGTCGAAAGTAAAGTTTTGAAACGATGTATCATTGAACATGTTCTCCCAATAGTTGCCTGTAGTCAAAAATTCGGTGAATTCGTCATTTGTGCCTGACGTATTGTCTATTTGTTCAGTAGATCTTAACGTGGAAGAAATATTTGTAAAATTGTTCGCTACACTCTGTCGATGTTTGTGTGTAGTTTTAATATGCATCTCTTCCGTCTTCGTCCTGCATTATAAAATTCATTATATAGGCATAAGAATATATATATAAATTCTCTTTTATATCTACTTACCAATAACTGACCCAAAAGTCGCAACCGCTGCTTCCAATTTGTCCCAAAATCAGGCAAAACAGGAAGCTAATTATGATAATAATCGAAGCGCCACTTCGAAAATATTTCCAGTACACTGCTTTCGATATGCTTCCTTTGGCCAGAAGTTCTTCAGTTTCTTGAGGCTCGGCTTCCTCCGCATCTTCATCGTTGACATTACCGTTTTGAATTATATCAGATGTAGGATTTCCATTAGATTTCAATGATTCCTTCGTATCTTCGTTTGCTTCTTCGCCTGTTGCAAACGTTTCCAAAAAATTCACATGCTTCTCTTGAAGATTCGCATATGTGCCTTCATTTTCAATTTGGCCCTTTTTGGAAAATATGGCTAATTAAATGTTCAGCCTTTATAAAAACGTGTGTATGTATAATTATTTGTAACTGTCATATGTGTGCACGTGTACAAATAATATAATATTCTACGTACATTGTTTAGGATAACTATGTAATCACATTGTTTTAAGTACTGTAATTGATGAGTCACGAGAATTCGCGTTTTACTTTGCAAGTAATTATTTATGCACTCGTTAAATAAATGTCTCCCCACGTGAGTATCGACAGCTGATAAAGGATCGTCGAAAAGATAAATGTCGGCGTCTTTATAAACAGCTCTGTAAACCACAGTTTTTGTTAAAATGTAAAGTGTATCATTTTATAAGCGGTTGCAAATTTACCTCGCCAAATTGATTCTCGCGCGTTGCCCACCGCTGAGCGCCGCACCTTTATCACCGATCAAGGTTTTATCGCCGTGCGGAAGTTGCTCGAAATCTTTTGTGAGAGCGCATGCTGTCACGACTTTTTGATATCTGTCTTTATCATAAGGCAAATTAAATAAAATATTGCTTCGCACTGTGTCTGCAAATAGCCAAGGTTCTTGACTAACATACGATATTTTGCCCCTAATATGTATCTGGCCATGCGATATTCTTAGTTCGCCTAAAATTGTTTGCAGGAAAGAACTCTGAAAATTAGAGAATACTTTTACATATATATAGTTTACATATATACACTCATATATAAATATATACCTTTCCTGCACCTACAGAACCAACGACGGCGTATAGTTTTCCGGGTTTGACTTGAATACTGATATTATGTAATGTATGTACAATTGCATTAGTCCATGAAGCGCTGACGTTTTTCATTACAATATTTGTTTCTTCGGCAGTTGATGTAGATAGTGCCATTGGAACATTTTCATTCAGCAACAAAAAATTCTGAGATAATAAAAGATAAATTATTTTTTTATGCGCAAAGCTTGTTGTGTGATGAAAGCCGGTAAATATTGAAGAACTCTTATTTTATAATTATAGATTAGTTTTTTTGTCTTTGTAAATACGACTTATCGAGAGTTTTTTTTATCTAAATGCGACTTTAACTTGTTGAGAAATTAATGGCAGATAATAATTGAATTAAAATAATATTTGCATAATGCACACAATTGTAGGCTAATAAACAATATTTGATCTGATAAGTTAATTTTCTTAACGAAATGTAAAAGTTAATTTTACTTCAATTCTCTGTATAGACACTGCTGTTTCTGCAGCAATTGCTATAGCTATGGGATAATATATTGCCATGGTAAGTTGGAGAATATTATAGTACTGTGCCATCGAAAATACTATGTCGGCGGATATAGAATTGCCGAGAAGTACGTAAACCATGATTGTAAAATATAACGTTGTTCTTTCCGTGAAAATGAATGTGGCTAAAGTAAAGCCTCTCAGATAAGATGTTAATGTGAGGACATCAATTTCGTATCTGGAAAAAATTATTTTTTATTAAATTTTCTTTATCGTGTTCAATTTTTTAATGAGAGAATGATGATCTCACAGTATAATAAAACATTTACGAACTTTCTTGCGTAGCTAACTAGTTCCTGAAATGGTTTCTCCCAAGTATACATTTTGATAACTTGTATACCACTGATTATTTCTGACATCAGTCGAACTCTTTCGTCGGTTCTTATTGCAATTTTTAAACGTAATTTTGAAGTCAATTTACTTATATATCCTGCAAAGAAATTTAGTTACGTATTAGGCACATTTATTTTGTTAGGAATAATTCGCATTCTATTTAACTATTCGTAATAATTTTACATTACCTTGAAAGGGAATAGTTTGAATTGTTATAAGAAATATACCGGTCAGTGAAGCAATACCGACGCTTCGCCAAATCAGAAATGCAACTATGGCTCCTTGTATTGGCATGATCCAAACGTAATGCAGCACTACAAACAATTGATCAAACCTTGACATATCATTTGACAATAGATTAATAATTTGTCCTGGGGTGGTAGTTGAAGATTTGGATAAACGTAATATCTAACAAAAAAGACAAGAACAGAAATATATAATTTTATATATTTATTGATAATGCAAACTTTTAGGACAATATAAAAAAAATTTGATTTATAGATTACCTTTCTATACATCAGAGATGAGCTTGCTACTCTAACTCGCATTCCAATTTCCAGTAAACCTAGATTTGAATGAGATTGGACTAAAATGATTAATATTTCTATTGCTACTAGACCAGATGCATAGAGATAAGCTTCATCCTGTCCAGATGTTGCTCTTGGATCAAAGTGCCAAATGAACAGACTCAAAATATATGGCTTGAAGACTCTGTAAAGTATATTACTGACAGTTACTATATGCAAATTATATGAGTTATTATAAATTATAATATTTAAATACCTTAAAACAACATTGAGAAATGAAACCCATCCTCCATAATAGAAAAATGACCAAATAAATGTCTTTCTCAAAGCTTTGATAAATTTAGGTTTTCTATTATTCTTCTCAGCTGCATGTATCTCATTTTTCCAATTTCTGAAAGTATTTATTTGTTAGAAAAATGGTAACATTTAATTGTTGATTAATTAATTATCAATAATTTAATCATAATAGGCTCATTGTTATTATAATCATAATTTATAATAAAATAATTTATTATTTACTGTTCCAGTTTATTTCCTAGAAATTCACTAGCATCAATGGGCAGAGTATTGTATACATTTTTCATTTCCAAGTCATGATCTTTCCCATACCAAAATAATTCTGTCATCCACCTTGAAAATAGGATACAAAATATGATAAAATAATAAATAAGCCTACATACAAGAATGATTTGATATTTGCATTAATGAAGAGGAAATTAATATGCATTATGATAAAGTATGCGCATATTTATACAATTGTATACATATATTTTGTATACATATGTATGCAAGATTGAAAAGTGATATACTTTGCTGTATATGTATGAGTATGTACGTATATAAATCATGAATGTAATTACCAGTTTTAAGAGATTGAAGATATGATTTATCTCCATCTTATTATTCATGTGTGAAAGTACATGCTTATAAATTATGAATGTAATTACATTATTATCACTTTGAAAATTAAAGATATGATGCATTTTTATTTTGTTATTTATGTAGAAATAAATATATGTTCATAAATTATGAATTAATTACAACATTTAGACTTCATTGCTACATCATGGTATAACTGTATAATGTAACTGCTGCAACTAGTGTATAATTGTTCTTATCATACAACATTCTTTCTTGCCTATTTTTATGACTTCTGTTATGTCATAATTTTACGTTTGTAATTTATGCGGGATTTAATTATTTAGCGTTGCCACAAGTCATAATGTGAAGAGCATTGTTTTTGACAATTATCGCCGGTTTCTTTTTTTATGATTATTACATTTTCATGCGCGGTTGTTTTGATTTGATCGACGTAACTGTAACAAAACAAAGTGCTTCGTTCGACTTACCAGAAAAATAATTTACTGATTGGATTCGCAGAAATTCGGGGATTTGAATTATCAGTTTTTTTGGCGGCGTCCATATTTTAATGTGATGAATTTATTGATGCCTTTTCAGTCACTTCTCGCACTGCTTCGTGAATAGCGCGTGTTGTGAATTTTATCGAACTGTTACACATACGTATACACTATCGCGCTGCTGTGGCATCATGCCGGATGGGATGATTCTGTGAGTGAGAATGATTTGGCAAATTGTGCTATTCGTCGAGGAATTTGTATGCGACAAAGAAAAAAAGAGGGGATAATTGATAGTAAATGTCCAAAGGATGAGAGTAGAACGATATATAGACATATTATGTAAGCACTCTATATGTAACTAGTTAAGAATATATTTCTTGCAGCTCTTCTCATAGTATATAACAATATTTCAAAAGATCAAGAAAAATATAGAAATAGAAATAAATAATGCCATTGAAATGATTAATCATTTTGTGGCAGTGAAAGGCATTGAAAGACATTGAAAAGATTAGTCATTTTGTAAAAATAGAATAGCCGAAAATGTAGATGTAAAGTCTGTTCGTTTTAGTTCTATATTTTCTTATACTTTCTATATTTACAAAATATTTTCAAGTTGCAAAAAGAAAGAGAAAAGAAAGAATGCAGAAAAATGTGCAACTAAAGTTAAAATATTCAGAATTATATATTATAAAATTACATAGATTATGCATATATATATGCTGATAAAGATATTAGTAAACAACTTATCACCAACTAATCAGTAGAATTATAGAACATGTAACAGCAAAGACCAATCCAAAAAATTACATTTATTTATATTAATAGATATACACAATTTTCTTATATAATACATTAAGAAAGTGCTGTATATTTTTATTAAAATAAAATAATTTATGACCTGCAGAAATGGCTAGAAATTAGAATGCATAATCGAAATTTTTTAGATCCAAAATTTTTTTTGTGTTTTATAAAAATTGATTCTAATTTATATATATATTTTTTTTTTAATTTAACCGCGAAAAAAGAGAGGGCGTTAAAAACCTTTGTAGATGTCGCTCGCAACAGACGCTAAAATCTTTGTTATATTGGTTATATTTACATCGATGTTGACACTTGTCATTTATTTCATTTACAAATTGTAATTATAGTTTGTACAATACGATAATACAAACTACATGCAAATGATCATAAGTATCATGCTTATTAGAAATTTTATGCAAATATGTACCAGTCATAAATATATAAGTATATGATGAAGAAATTTATATGTGTCACATATGTGTAAATAAATTTGTTGAGTGCAATGGCATTCTCATTTCGAGCTGGCACTAATTGGTGTCATGATTTCCCAAAACTGGCAAGAGAATCAGGATTTTATTTTAACATGCATGGATCTAGAGTCCGAGTTGACTGGAATCGTATAAGTATGTAGATATTGTTCAATGACTAAATATCAAATTTATTGTTACTAACAAATTGTTCTTTTTTTGTTACAGGTGCTATAGATATAGACAGAGTTATACGTGAAAGAGATTTCTTGACCATTGATGCAAACATCAACAATGTAGTAGATTATTGCTTGGAAAGCGAGTACGATGTCAAGATCTTAGATCCTAACTTTGTTAAGTTATTCAGACTTGCACAATTGTCAGTTGAATATTTATTATATTGCAAGCAATATTTAGATCATAGTGTAATAATATTAAAAGATGAGCTGAGACAGAAAATAGAACAAAATGTCAGTATGAAGAAGGAAGTTGCTACTTTGGAAGATACTTTAAAGAACCTAAAGGAGAGATCAAGGGAAAAACGTAAATTAATTGAAACAAGTTTTGGTGAAATGGCCAGCGGTGAAATTTACAAGGTAAAATAATATATTATTTCAATGAATTAGCGTAATGTTATAATGTAATGTTCATAAAATTTAATTGAAAACTTTATGCCAGTGTCCACATTGTCCAAAAACATTTGTACGTGCTATATTTGTAAATGCTCATATAGCACGCAAACATTCATATATATCAAATATTGGTGTATCCACATCTCCCGCACATGAGCATTATCGGGCAGAAACAGAGAAATTGCACAATGAAATAAAGACATTGAAAGAAAGACTAAATCAAACTGAGAGGGTGATAAGAAATGAATCTGATAAAATTTTAGATAATACAGAAAAGATGTATATAAAAAATAATAGAGGTGAACAGGATAAAGTGGATATGTTTCAAGAGCAAAGGCGACATCAAGAAGATATTGGAAATTTGAAGAGCATGTTGTTTGACGAGATACGTGTAAGTTAATATGAATTAAATAATTTTGCTCTTGCACTAAATTATTTTACAAAATTAGATCTTTTTTTACAGGCATTGAAAGAGAAAGATCACACTGTGAATGAGAGTATCTTGGAAACGAATGTAAAAACTTTAATCAGTCAACAAGAAAAAGAGATTGAGGGTTTAAGAAATCAACTTCTTGAAAGGGTAAGTAAAAATGAAAATATTATTTTTGTGAATAATGTTAATCTATTAAATTATTTTTCAGCTAACTCCAGATGTGGAGAATATGCAAGTAAAGTTACAAACACAAGAGAATTATTGGAAAGCCAAAATAGAAGATATGGAAAGCGCACATCATCGGGATATCGAAAGACTGACCACGGAACTGAAAGTAACTCAGCAAGTAGCCGATCATATAAAGTCGGAATATTCAGCTAAGGTGCACGATTTAGAAAAGCAATCTATGGATCAATCAAATATGTTGATAGAACAAAGAAAGCAATTAAATAGCTTGTCACGTGAGATGAGTAATTCACAGACACAGATTAATAATTATAGAATTAGGGAAAAAGACAAAATAGAAAAATTTCATGAATCTCCTATATTAAGAATAAAACATGATAATAGTTATAATAATAGCGAAACATATCATAAGAGTTCAAATAGCATTCGAAATGGCGAGATGGTTATCGAAGATATTGGTAGTGAATGTAGTCAAGACAATGACAAATCAATCGCAATGCAAAGCAAATGTGTGCCTAATAAAAATGATACTATAGAAAGCAGGAACAATAGAAAATTCATCATTGATCTCAGTAGAACTACGGAACATGTGACTGCAATGTCGAATCTGAGAAATTTAGAGAGATTAGATGTTAGAAAAACGAAAGATAAAATAAAACACTATAACACATTGGACGATGAGAATGAAATAATTGATTATACAAGTAAGAGCTTTACTTCCAAAGGAAATATTCCCACTAATGTATATAAAAAGTATGCAGATATAAAAAATGTTGAAAGAAAAAGGATATTGCATAATGATATGAGAAATAGCAAAAATTCCAAATTTCTGGAAAAGCAAAGCGTCGTGAATTCTGCGACAGAATCTGTATCTTCATCATCAATGTCGGAATCGGAATCTGAAACTGAAAGTGTCACGGCGGATGATGACATTGTGATAGAAAAATACGAAACATCTGTAGTTAAGTCTTCCAACGCGAAGAACTTATCGATAGAAGAGGAGGTGCAAATCATGTTCAATAATCGATTGAGAGAATTGGGAATAGATCCGGAATGGCGAGGAATACCCGCGGCAACGTTTAAGCAAAAGATGGAGATCGTAAAGCATCAGCAAAATATCAACACCAAAAAGTTAGCTTGGTACGCTCAAATAAAACAAACAATACTGGAAGATCTTTTTCAGAAAATATCAACAAATCATAAAGAATCAAAATACACTATGCTCACAAAACATTCTCCCTTTAACAAGCTAATCCCTCACACCAAATCAAAAGCTTTAAAAGCGTTTAGCGACCATAAAAATAATGGTAATTATTATATATTTGTTATATTAAAAAATTTTTTGATATTTTATCATTAATTAATATATTATTTTCTTTCAGACGAATCTGTTCAAAAGACAGAGAACACGACGCCATCAAAATTACGTCTAAAGCAAAAGATTGAGCTTCTTCCTAAAAAATATAAAGATAACGAGGCATTTGAGAATACGCATGAATCGCCATCGAAAAGAAATGGAATAGATGGTTCTACTCCGAAAGTGACTCCTACATATCCAAGATTGATGCGAAATATTTCTTCTTCAAGTTCTATTGAATCTGAAAAAGATATAAAACAGATTTCGTCTACAAAGATAACTGTCTCGGATAGTGGCGCGCGTAAAATAAGTTCTCCGATTAGCAGGAAACAAGTAATAGCGCCAAAATTTGCCGAAAATAATGACTCTGATAGTGCGATTGTACAGCAAGATGATTCAATTTTGTCTCTGATGAATAATAAAAGCGTTCTGAAGCCAATGAGTGGTTCAGTCGGTAGCTTGGTAAAGAAAAAAGTGTTGTTCGATTTAGAGGATACAAAAGTCGACTTTGATGATACAACGATACCAGAAAACGATCAAAGAACGCAAATAACTGATGATGATTGGAATATCTCAAGGTATTAAAGATTTTACATATTGCAATCTTTGCTTTTATTATTTTACTTTTGTAATTTTTAAAAATATATTTTGCATTATATTTTAATATATAATTAATCTATACTATTTTTATTTAGCTTTCCTGAGAGAGACGAATATGCATTACGGAGACAGAAGTCTATGAGCACAAGTAATATCATTCTAAAAACGTCGCAAAGCGACAAAATCGCTGAAATATCAAAGAAAATACAAGAACAGGTGAGTTGATTGCATCATACTGCACATATAATTGATGTATTATCAAAATAACATCGGTATAAATTTTTTTTCAGCTAAGCATAGCTAGGAAACCACCCGTAGGATCGGTGGAAACAATCTTCCGATCCAGCACGAATTTGCAAGACCTAACAAATTTTAATGCGAACAATCGATTAAGTTCGAGTCTCACGGGTACAATTTCTGAAAGTCCTTTGCCGAATTTCACAAGTACAAATACGAAGAGCAGCGTATTTCCGCAACCTGCTCCGCGAACTCGGAAAGACACAGATCTCACTGTTCATCGTGAACACGAATTGAAATATTCTGATTTGGATTCAGATATTGACGAAATATTGCAGATGGAATGAGATGTATGTGCAGTGTAAGTTATTATCTTTAAATTATTATTTTGATTTTTCTTTTTATACTGCTGACGTTACAAGTTGAACAAACTTAATGTATAGTTTAATGTACAATTTTTATATGTTTTTGTATGCTAGAATAATTTAAAAGTATATATTTATGAATGAATGAACAAAGCATACTTATTGTATATATCTATCGAAATAATGCAATCTCAGGATAAAATTAACGATTTTTTGAGAAAATATTTTAAGCACATTAATAAAATGTTACTATGATGAATAAAACGAATGATACATTTTTTAAAAGTGCCGCGCTTTTTAATGTTCACCGTCATATTGCTTGTGAACCAATCCTCGATCAGGTTTCTGCTGCCATCCACGTTAAAATCACATCCAATCAGGTCATTCGGCTTATTTGCTTATTCCAGTCAGTCGTCGGCCATTGTCGGTTTCTTTTGTATGCCTTTCTCGTTCGGTGTGAAAAAGTTGTATTTGTGTCTGTTGTATTTATCGCGTTGTTAATTTACGGATGCGCGTGGAAAGATTCCGCGAAGACGATCGACAAACAAGAAGATCGAACTAGACGATTGTCGCGGATCGGAAAAGCGCGTCGCGCATAAATACGTGCGAGATCTTGGCACGCATTTTGACGAATAAAACGAAGTAAAGAGCGAGAGCGAGAACACAGAAGTGCAAAAATGTCAGAGATCGACGCGAAAGTGAACATGTCGCTCGGTAAGTGGCCAGAGTCTCAAAACTCTAATGATTTTGCCAGTAATCCTGGGTGAGCGTACGGCTCCGCAGTCCTCCCAATGATGAGCGATGAAATGGCGTCGCCATGCGTATACGTGTGCCCGTATGAGTATCTGCATTTGTTTTATCATTCCGCATCTCGGTTCCCGTTTCTTCAAGGACAGCGAAGACAATACGAAAAAGTACATCGAGTAAGAAACAGCGGGATGGTTTCTACGATCGATCGACGCAGCGGCGTATTAATGTATTAAGCGAAAGCATAACAGGATTGCGAAACAGAAGATATTCTTATTCTTAAAGGAGGAAGAGAGATAGGGCGAAGGGGACAGCCACAATTTTTCATCCTCGTTGCTTTTACGTAACTGTAATCTTATTTCGCCGATTACTTATTAATCGCGATTGCTCTTGTTCGACCCTGGAAGGAAGAAAGGAATTTTCAGTAGAACATGAAGTGTTGCCAGAAATTCTTCATTCGACTTAATTATGATTGCTCGTAATTTGTTTGGCCCTCAGGAAGAAAAGTGTTTACGAACAAGCCCATAGGAAATTTGAGTAAGATATCAAACGGTTATTTGATAAACCGCCAAAAATTTCTTATGCAAAAGGAGAACGTACGATGTCTACGATCAAGAAATGAAACCAAGATATGTCAGGAATGTCTTGGAATGGCTCTGCACCCGGATTAAAACATGGTGAAACCTTACACCATTTGCGTCTGCTACACTTCTTAACAGTAGATCCCGATTGCACAGACCTATTCATTATCGCATTAATTAATGCACACGTACGATTAATTTCTCTTTTGTACACAGTCTGCGGACTAATATCGCATCGTCACATTGGAATAGTATTTCCAACATTTCCAATAATTTTTGAGAATATTTTGATACTTCTAAATTATGATCTTGCTGCAACTTTCGACAATAAACTTTCGTGATACCGTTTTGGAGACAAAGTTGCAAAATTACAGCGAAGCATAGGCATGCCGAATGATTCGTTCTCATTTGGCAAGAATTATTACTGAAGCATGATGTCCTGATATCTCGGATATCATAATCTCGCTTTGATGCATTCCGAGAAAACAACGATGAGCGAAACGGGGACACTGAACAATCTGAAGAAGCAGCTGTGCCAAGCGTGTCGCGACCGTGACTCATCTCACTTTCTCATAGAACGAGCGCAGGCTTGCGCAATTTCGTATTTTTATCCATTGCATCCTCGGCAACTTTTAGTAGCGGGCGAACATGGCGCGACACAGTGCGCCAAATATGGAAAATGATACATGCTGACGCGATCTGTTTATACGGCGATAAGAAGCTTATATAACAAGAGCACGGCGAAGAATGAGATTAAGTTGGTTTTTGTTCCGCTCTTATCAGTATGACGTATATGAAAGAATTCGGTGGAATAAATTAAAGCTAAATGCGAATTATGCTTCACCTTGAGGAGAAAGTGTGTGTGGGAGACTATACAAAATTGTATTCGCAGTATATTGACGATGTGTTAAATAATTTACTGGCAATCTCCGAAAATGCAGATACTCTATACGCAAGCTGGTTTTAATAATGTGCCAATAAAGTGCGCAATCCAATGCTGGCAAATGATACTCCTGAGGGATAGAATACGTTTATGAACGATTTATTTGTATGATTAAAATTCGCAAGGCAAATATTTATATGGGGTTCTTAAAAGTCTTCTGAAATGCAATAATGAAGGAGGTAACGATCAAATGGAAGAATTTGCAAGAAGAATTACTACTGGTTCGACCTAATATCTTGTAAAAGTAGTGGAATACAGTAAACACAACTCGCAAGAAGTATAATGTAGAAATTTCTGCGTGCAAGGAGCAACGTCACGAATAAGTGGAGAATCACGAACTTGAATCATCGTTTTTCCCTGCTTGCACACTATTTCAAAGTGATCCATAATGCCGCAAATGGGGATATAAATAAATAAACATTAAAGATAAAGAAAAGCCATGCAAAAAAACTTAATTATGAATAAATATTTTAAGTGTTCTTTTCGAAAACGTTAATTGTCTTGAATAAGGTTACATAGATACTAATTTGGTTTTATTCAAAATTTTGATTATATTTTTTGTTTTAAACAATTGAATTTTTATATACTTTTGATTAATTAAAGGTATCGATATAATTTTTATAATTTTTTTTTTGTGTCTATAAATTTATATTCTTGATACATTAACTTTCACATTATGATTTTGTACAAATGGAGCGGATAGTGATTCCAGAAATGACAGTTAATTTAGCAATTATAATTTTTTACGTTTAATTTTATCGTAACAAGTCATATATATAATATACTTATCATAAAAGAATATATCTATGAAGATTATATTCTATATATATTTTATGTTGCATACACAGATATTTTTACAGGCAAAGATTTTTGGGATTACAAATACGATGATATTTTTGTCTCACACCAATATGCGTACATGCATTAAAGTGTGATAATTTTTAATATCAAATATTTATTTGCGAAATTGCACTTCTCTTTTGGAATCATATCTGTGCCAAGATCTGATGTTTCGAGTTAAACTTGCGCAAATATTAGATCCCACAACTGCACATTTGCCGTGCCCGTGCGCTCATTAAACGTTGCGCGTTTTCTTCCTTTTAAGATGAGATCATAAAATTGGGAAAAAAGGAGAAAAAGAAAAAGAATGCTGTGAATGGAAAACCTGGCGGTGCCAAGCGCAACCGCGGCACCATGCGAGGCAGGACCGGGTTTAGAGGAAGAGGAAATACGAGAATTAATAAACGCAATGTCGGGACTGCCGTGAAGAAACATCCGCAGCAACAGACTTGGCAGCGCAATGCGAATAACGCGACTAACGCTCGCGCTGGCTTCGCTAAGAATCGATTCAAGAAAAATGGCAATCTCGCGAGATCGCGCAGCAACTTGAGTTTGAATCAGAAGCCGAACGCGAGAGGCGCATTCAACGTGCGCCGTACCAGAGGCAGCAGATTCGGGTTGACTCGCAGCAGAAGCCGAACAAACCTGACGTTTAATCAGGGCGGCTTCTTCACGAACAACAAGAGCCCGTTGAAGAGAACGAACAGCTTGCCTAATTTACGTGATCCGAACTCTGTCCACAATCGTCTGGGATACCAGAGTCCCGCTCAGATTGCCTATCGAAATCGCGTGAAACGAGCGAAGCAGCTGCTGCTACAAAGACAGACTCAGAGGCTGGGCATGCAAAATCATTTCAGAGTGAGTTGGATATCATATAAATGTTTTTTAAGCAATATAGATAATAAAGTACTGCTGATACACATGTGAATTTCTTATACAGATGGCGCAGACTGGACAGAAGACTCTACTCTCGATGCAACCGACAACTTTGGGAAGACAACAGATATTAACGTCGCAGCGTCGTTTCACAACTGGCGGACTGCGTTCCGATCAAATCGCTCGTGCACAGAGGCGGGCGCAATATGAGCAAAAATTGATGAGGATGAAGTAAATTACTATTTACATACTGTTGTTAAATTATATTAATTCTATAAGTCGACTATAACTTTCTATGCGGTCATAAATGTTCCATTTTTCTGCTTTTAATTTTATATTCAAGTTCATTCGCAACTTTTTGATAGAGGAATAAGAGATCATTTCCCTTGTACGCAATAAAATGCAATGTTGCAGCACTGCCCAATTGACTCCGAGTCCGAATGTCAATTTCATGTGCACGCTAGGAAGTGAATACACGCCTACCGCCACGCGTCAACGACCTCTCACTCTAATACAAAGTCGAAATCCCGCGACTATCGGTGGTGCGCCGAGAGTATTATCTAGAGGACGATCACCATACAGACAGAGTACGCAGGCTTTGAATATGGTAAGAATTCTTCAAGTTTTTCTATTTAGGGTTTTTTTTTCGAATATGAATAATTGATATCTTGTTATTTTTCAGACTGTTCGAGCACCGTTATTTAACCGGCAGCGTTCGAGATCAAGATCGCGATCACGCTCGCGCACACGTAATAACACTACCACGTCCGATTCCAGCGGGGATGTCGACGATCGTAGTTTCAGCGAAATTATGTTTGGCCTGTCGGGGAACCTCGGCGTTACGGGTCGAACCCTTAACGATCGGTTTAGCTTTTAAGCGGTAGTATCGCAAACTTAACTTTATATAATTTAAATTTATTGATATTTTACTGATGATTTCGCCGGTAATGTTGGAAAGGATAAAAAAATTTATTTTAACAATGTAGACAACGCGACAACATTATTGATCTTTCCTCTTTTGTTAGAAATATATAAGCATTATTATTAATGACAAGTGCGCAACGCATTAATTAACATTCTCACAAATATTTTGCTTATTTTACGCAAAAGCTTATTCGAAATACAGTTTCTTAACATTTGCACTGTTAATGTGTGTACAAACTATTTGTAGAATATATTTTGAGATGTACTATCACACCTTCATGAAGAATGTATGATGGTACGAATAATATGAGGTGTGCGCGCGTGATTATAATCTGTCACGATTAAATCATTATATATATTTTTTTTTATCTAAACATATCTTAAAATCCGAATTATTTCTACAAAAAATGGCTACACACTTTATAATAATTTATCATGATTTAGAATAATTATTAGCACAAAAAATCTCTAATGATAAGAACGGAAAAAACAAAATTGATAACGATGCCACGATAGTTTCACAACTGCTTGTTGGTAAACGTCTATGCAAAGTCCAATTGACATGCTGACTGTTAATTGCGAGTTGAAGAAATTTCACTTTTTTGCCGTGCAATAATTTTTGCATAAAGTATCTTTTGATTAAATAGAATATAATTGAAGAATTAAATATCTAGTGCAGAGTTGTGATTTATTGATAAATTTTGATATAAAAGTAAAATCGTTTTCAACATACGCTAGATACATTGAATATGTAATATAGACTTCATCTTTTGAAATGTATTTTCTTTTGCTTTAAGAAATATACAAATACTGACAATTCGCTACTTGTTCTTATTTTTATAAATCGCTTATAAATTATAATATTTTTATAATAGCGTTTTAGGTAGTCTCTAAAATTTAAATAAAATATTCATATTTGTGTTTACATAATCTAGAATTTACTCGTGCAAACATCTTTCTCATCTTTAGTAGAAACTAGGTTTTAACTTTTTATTTTGTAAAACTATAAAATGTAATGCAATGAACACACATGTTACACTCGCATACAGACAGGATATTTAATTTTTATTTTATATATGATTATACATAAGATTAAATAAACATAGGTTACAAATTTTTTCATGAACATGTTAAAAACATTTTTATGTTACACATCATTATTGTCTGTAGTTTTAGCTGAGTCGTTAATTTTATGCCGTCGACTTTGTTACTGTCTTCGAAGAATATGCGCATGTTTTTAATCATGCAGGTTTAAAATACTGCTTCAAGAAGTGATAATAACGTGGATGTTATTTTTAAAATGAGCATAGAGTCGATTGAATATCATCCGAGTATATGAATCGTAGCGGACTTATCGCCGTTGCAATAAAAATGAATCAAGCATAATATAACGCTCATTGCTTACTCCGTTCAGTGTCAGTCGAATGCGCATGAAGTGTTCTCGTAAGTGTCTTAAATTAAAATTACTTATACGATGTAGATATTTGCAAAGGGAAAATTCTCTTACGAAATTTAAATGATATATTTATTAATAATTTTATAGGATATTTTATATATTGTGTGTGTGGGTGTCAATATATAATGCATGTATAGGAGATATTATATATATGTAAAGGAGCCATCACTAATTGTCACTATGTCATTTGTGATGTCTTTAGTAAGAACATGTTCTCAGAAAATAAACAAGCAGGTAAAGTTATATTTCGTGATAGATTACTTTTCACGTTAAAATTACAGTATGTATGCAGACGATGCATTTATCTGCAAATATTGTTCACACAAAGTATTTTACTTTATGTAGCTATTTGCATGCAAAGCTCCAGTCGTTAAACAACTGGTGCGAAATTTAGAAGTGCACGAGCACGTTGCGTATACTTTATTGAAAAAAGCTGGCATTCCCATTCCGTCTTTCGGGGTGGCAAAATCGCCCAACGAAGTCTCCAGTCTGGTCAAGAATTTGGGAACCAAGGATATCGTGGTGAAGGCGCAAGTTCTAGCTGGCGGTAGAGGAAAAGGACATTTTAAGGATAGCGATGTCAGCGGCGTTGTTATGTGCGAGTACGCAATACAAACAGAAATTGATAAGAAAACGATTATAACATAAAAGAGAATCGAAGATAATAATCTTTTCTGTTTATAGGCCCGAGCAAGCGGAGGAACTGGCTGCTCATATGATCGGGAAATCGCTCATAACTAAACAGACGAGTGCAGCTGGAAAAATATGTAACTCCGTGATGGTAACGGCGCGCATGTTTCCACGTAAAGAGTATTACATAGCAGTGATGTTGGAACGTGCTTTCGATGTACGTAAAAAATTGTCTTCATCCATTCATTGTTATTTTCATCCATTAGAAATACGTCAAACTAATATTTTCACTATTATTTCAGGGTCCCGTGATAATTGTTTCTAAACAAGGCGGTGTGAACATCGAGGAAATCGCTGCCCAAAATCCCGAAGCCGTGACTTATGTACCTGTCGACATAAACAAAGGCTTGACATCCGAGCAAGCGAGTAGTATTGCCAACAACCTGGATCTTACAGGAAATAGCAAGGAAATCGCGTCGATTGTCATTTATAATCTCTACGAATTATTCGTCGAAAAAGATGCTTTGCTCCTCGAGATTAATCCGTTCGCGGAGGACATTTGCGGCGAATGTGAGTTGCAATACACAAGAGCGTAATAGGTATTTTTAAATAATAATAAACGATACATTCGATCGTCGTAGATTACGCTCTAGATTGCAAATGTAAGTTCGACGACAGTGCCGAGTATCGGCAGAAGGAATTGTTTGCGTTAAAGGATGTAACGCAGATGGATCCAAAGGAAGTCGAGGCTGAAAAATATGATTTAAATTATATAGCTTTGGAGGGAAATATCGGTTGTATGGTAAATGGAGCTGGCTTAGCTATGGCGACTATGGATATTATAAAGCTCTATGGCGGTGCACCAGCAAATTTCTTGGATGTTGGTGGCACGGCTACAATAGAGACTGTGCGAGAAGGTTTTAAAATATTGTCATCGGATCCCAATGTAAATGTCGCCGAAATTAAGTTGGATTAAATAATAAGATAATGACTGATAATCGACCGATAATGTCTGTTTTTCCAGGTGGATGCTATTTTAGTGAATATCTTTGGTGGTATAATGAGATGCGATATAATCGCTCAAGGAATCATCGATGCTTTCAAACAATTAAACTTGCAATTACCTGTAATTGTCCGATTACAGGTAATTATTTTTAAAATGTATATTGTATGTGTAGCTGTTAACATCATTTTCTTCTTCTTTCATGATTCTTATTTCTTTGTAGGGCACTAATGTGAATAAAGCTAAACAATTAATACTAGATGCTAAACTAAAAGTGATTTCCGTGGATGATTTTGCTGAAGCAGCCGAAATATCTGTCAAGCTGGCATCGATAATGAATCTTGCGAAGTCTTTGGACTTAGATATTGCTTTCAGTGCTAAATCACCAGAGAAGAAGAAAGATAAGGGAAAAAAGAAGTAAAATCATTAGAAAATATCTATTGGAACAATTTATAAAATATTTTACATTTGTGTGCTATGAAATATACATATGTTTTTATACGTAAGTATGTTACAAATTCTTATTTTATATATGAATGTAGGAAATAATAAAAGAGCTGCAACATTTAAAAAACAGCGGTACATTTATTGTCTAAATATATTCATATACAAAAGTTAAAATTTAAAAATTGCAATAAATTATATTATTTATCAGGGTTCTATATATATAATCTTGACTAAGTAAAGTTGGAATCTTGGCTAAGTCCACTAAATCTGATTCTTTTTCTTTTTCCGCTGTATATCATATTTTCAAAGATTAATAAAATATAGGAAACAGAAAAACATTATCAAGAGCATTTGAATTTTTCTGCATAAATTTGATAGATGCAAAATCTTTCGTATCGTCTTGACTTATCATCGGAACTAATCGTGCATTCGGTGCTACGAGATTGTTGATTTCTCCGCGAGGGAAATATCAAGTTAGGTGGAGTCCATGAGAGCAAATTCGCACTTGGCAGTCTACGGCTGTCGCTTAAGCAAAGATGGCTACCATGTTGTCGCGGGTGATCACACTCGCGGAGAGTCTCGGCCGATTGAACGGTCCTAAGGTATGTCAAGTTGGCGGAGTTTCGTTGTTCGTACACCGTAATCGCGTATTCGACATGATTTCATAAACGCGCAAAGTATCATGACAATCATAATGATAATTTTGTTGGGAAGGAAAAAAGACGGAAACGGGAACAAGTGCGAGTGAGACAAACAAGGGCGATCGCCATGTTAAACTGTCTGCTAAATTGAGCGCCAGGGTCGCAAATGATTCAAAGCCAAAGATCTCGAAGCAAAATGTTTTCTCAAAAACTCGACGTGACAGTTACGCAACTACGTGGAAAACTCCTTCACGTGTCGTCTTAGTGACGTTTCCGTTGACGGACGCGACATCCATTTTTGACATTCCGCGTTTGATTAATCGAATTATGCGTAAGGAGACATTTGAAATGATTGAGTGTCATTTAATGATGATTGTTATTCTATTTTTGGAAGGATTATTTGAATCTTTGAATCGCGCGATTAACAATTGACGAACGATATTTGCGCGCTGACGCATGAGAAATCGATCTTGTTGGAATTTGCTCTTGATAGAACGAGGCCTTGAAATAAAAAAATACGAGATACTTTGATGTTTTAGCTGATACTCACGTGTTTTAATTCTCAAAATTTAGATAATCAAAATTATATTTTTAATTCAAGAATGTATGAATATGTCAACTGAGAATGATCTTTGATCTTCATTCTTATTGTCGAATTCTTTGAAGAAAACTGATATATTTTTTCATAAATCATAAAATTCTGTAAATATAGAATTTGTTTTTGTTGAAATAACTCGTCAGGATCTGTTTTTTATTCTCATTATTCAAACTTTTTGATAATTACAATTATAATCTCCAATATTTAAAATATTTTATTTAATATTACTTAATATGCAAGACAATTAGCGAGAGATATCGATTATTTTATTCAAAAATTATTGAATTTGTAATTTTATTGGAGAAAAAATCGATTTTTAATTAATAAAGGAATTTGTTATTTAAAATTCTGTTACACAATTTGCTGCTGATAAAAGTGCCAAGCTATGCATAAAATGCTGTATACGATGCAATTATGTAGTTCATTGTCATTGTGTGTAGGATAGACCTTCAAATATATATTTATATTTAAACATTATTCACGATAAAGTGCCTGTCATAAAGTTCTAATTTGTGTATGTGATAACATTAAAAGAATATATCTATTAAATTAATCAAATGTGGGAATTATCACACACTAAGCTTATTACACTGTATTTCCACTTTCAGATATTGGCATGTAAAACCAACTTGGTGAAACAACCAACCAGAAATTTAAATGTACACGAACATATCAGCTACAGTTTACTCAATGAAGCTGGGGTGCCCACTCCTAAATTCGGCGTCGCCAAAACTCCCGATGAAGCGGCTAAATTTGCTGCCGACTTGAAAACGAAAGATATTGTTTTGAAGGCCCAGGTTCTCGCTGGCGGCAGAGGAAAAGGACACTTTAAAGGGACGAGCGTCAGTGGAGTGAAGATGTGTGAAACGTAATTATTGCACGTAGATAATTGTACACAATGTGTATTTCGATATATTGAGAAATACACTTATTGTGTCGTTTGCAGTCCAGAAGAAGCTAAAGCGTTAGCGAGTCAGATGCTGGGTAAGCTGCTAATTACGAAACAGACAGGTGAAGCTGGTAGGATATGCAATGCTGTGATGGTTACGCAACGTATGTTTCCTCGTAAAGAATACTACCTTGCTGTCATGATGGAAAGAGCCTTTGGTGTAAGTTACAAGAAGTTGTACGAAAGCATTGGGAGATTCTAAAAAGATTCTAATATATATATATTTTTTTTCAGGGTCCCGTCATAATAGCTTCCAGCCAAGGTGGAGTGAATATCGAGGAAGTTGCTGCTACGAATCCTACCGCTATCATGTATGAACCAATCGACATCAATAAAGGAATTACGAAAGAACAGGCCGAACGTATCGTTGACAAGCTCGGCCTTAATAATGTAAAGGATTACATTTCCAATATAATAATAAGTCTTTATCAAATGTTTCTTAAAAAGGATGCTCTTCTGCTGGAAGTGAATCCTCTCGCCGAAGACATTAATGGAAATTGTAGGTCTAATATATAATTAATTCTGAAAGTAACATTTTATAATTTATATTTGACTTTATATGCGTGCTGTTTTTACAGATTTTGCTCTGGACTGCAAGTGCCGGTTCGACGACAATGCCGAATTCAGGCAGAAGGAACTATTTGGTCTGCGAGATTGGACTCAAGAAGACTCTAAAGAAGTCGAAGCTGCAAAGTTTGATTTGAACTACATCGCATTGGACGGTAATATAGGTTGCATGGTGAATGGAGCTGGCTTGGCTATGGCTACGATGGATATTATAAAGTTGCATGGTGGTGAGCCAGCCAATTTCCTCGACGTTGGTGGCGGTGCATCGGCTTCTGCAGTGAAAGAAGCATTTAAGATCATTACATCTGACCCAAGAGTAAGTGGTATAATACTCACTGTTTGTCTTTATGATTAAACATTCAATAATTTGTATTTTATCATTCGTATAATTATAATTTTGCAGGTTCACGCTCTGTTAGTTAATATTTTTGGTGGCATCATGAGATGCGATGTCATAGCAGAGGGTATTATCGCCGCGACCAAGGAACTCAGTTTGAAAATACCCGTCGTCGTCAGATTGCAGGTACGTCTTTGTCTCGCAAATAATTATGAATTGTGTAAACATGCTTTGTAATTTTTTTTTTCAGGGCACTAATGTGGATGAAGCTAAAGCTCTGATCGCGAATGCAGGTTTAAAAATCGTGCCAATTGATGATCTTGACGAAGCCGCCCGAGTCGCAGTGAAATTATCCACTATCGTCAAATTAGCACAATCCGAAAATCTCAGTGTAAATTTCGAGATACCTGCAATTTCATAGGTAGCGAAAAAATTGTATTTAATATGTTATTAAGTATATATTGATCGTATTAAATCGTTAAAAGATTTCGACAACGTCTGAAAGTAATAACTGCAGTAATAATTTCATATGCGTAATAACATATTCTCGTTAAGGCGTTCCAAATAACACTTCAAGTACAGTCTTTTGAATCTTTGTCGTAGAGAAAAAGAGAAAAAGAGAGAATGAATAAAATGGGATACCGTTTATTTTACAAACGCGTTATACTGCAAATTAATATTTGAAAAAAAAGAGCGAGCTGAGTATTATTAACGTGTACACTAACTTTTTTTCAATACAGATGTAAACATCGATAACGTACAGAACTGTGTGAAGTTACAAAGGTTCACATGATTCATCTTGGTTTGCTTTGTAAAGAATTTTGCGATCCAGTATTAAAAGATTAGCCTTTCTGGTACAAAGACAGGCTTTATCATTATTACAATCGATATTTTAATGCTATTGTTTTCATTATAGCGACAGATCAGTATGAATCACATTTTATGCGAATCATTCAAGCTACAGTTCTTTTGTACCGAACGTTATGTAATATAATATCTAAGCCAGCTTATGTGCAGACGTGTATCCTACATGTGTAGGTGTTTAAAAATGACAAACAGTACGTGATTATTGTTCAAGACAGAACCTTTCACATTTGCATAGTTATGAAATGTTGAAAGTAAAAGGCTTGTTTAGTCGAACATATATAAACATGTAAGTTATTTTGCGAAATTTCAATTTGTCTCCGCTCCTTTAATGAATAATGAAGTCCATGTATTATATCTTTTGGTAAAGTTAATATTAGAAAGAATGTTATACAATTATGCAAATAATTGTGGAACAAATTGTATATTCCCGTACATTATTATAATTCTGTAAATCTCCCAATAAATCTTATTAAATTGTACAGTCAAATCCTTCAAAAATTAATTATCTATTCCAGTTCAATTGAAATCTGGATTATTTTATCTGAGCTGCTCTCAAACTACTTTCACATTTGCTATGTAAATCATTTTTTTACATTTTAAATTGATTATTTATAAATAATATTTATTTATAGCCTGGCGCTAAATAATTAGAATATAGTAAATATATATATTTATAAATAATAAATGTTATTTATAAATAAATATATATATATATATATATTTAAATTAAAGAAATTATTTATTTGGGTCTTTTTTAATTAACAAATTCCATATTAAAAATAGTTTTTTAGCCCAGAACTGGGTGTTGGTTGTTCAATAAAGAAAAGTTAACAATTAATTAATTCATACGTTTCGGCTCATTTTATTTGGCCATCTTCAGTGAACGATAATTAACAAAAGAAAGTTACATAAAATTAATGAAAATACGTATATGCCGCAAGGTTATCGCATTT